TTCGAAGGCGTCAATACCATGAGTGGCAGGTGGCTGAATTTTGCGGAGACTTGCCACGGTCTCCAACCCTTCTCTTTTCTCATCCGGGCTTGGGACCGGCAACGGCGGAGTTACGGGAACGTTGGAAGCTCTGTCTGACGCGTCTGCCTCCGCGACTCGAAAGGAGAAGTGGCGATGGAAGAAGAAGATGAAGGCAACATATTCATGTCAACGTTTGCCCTTTCTTTTTCTGCAAGATCGATAATGCCACGCTTTTATCAAAAGAATATTTTATTTGTAGCTGATGATCCCTATCCATTTTTTTCTGGGTGAAAGCGTCCTTCAAAATTCGCCTTACAGTTATAATATCCGTCAACTTTTTGTCCCCGGATTCGTGATAGCCCTTCATGGCTACTCCATCGTATCGTCTGTATCTAACAAATCGCATAATTTTGCTGTCTTCAACGATCTTCACTTTCGAGGTTGCGTACTTTCCATGACAGCACTAGACGACCAGTTTAATGAGGGCGCTACACTAGCAATAGCCATTCAGAATAGTTCCTTAGGCAGAGCATTGCTGAAATTTATACCATTTAAATTTCATGCTTTTGCTTACATATTTCTTTTATTTAATACATTGCCGACGTTGCGAGCCGTACTCTGATGTCGTTGTCAAAGCATTGTAAAAGTCGCTGGTGTACTGAATAAAATGAATTTATGAACTTAGTCTGTAAGAAATGTGAATACCATCAGTTTGATTTCCGACATATAATTAGCCTGCTAAAATTTTAATTATTCATGCTACATTTTAGAGCCGCTAAGGAAAAGACACGTGAAAAGAAAGCTGTGAAAAAAGCAGAGAAAACGAGGACCGTAACGAAACAGGGACCGAAGCAGAAGGTTCCAAAACCGATGAAAATGTCGGCGCCGAGAGTTGGCGTAAGGCGTTAGTGACGGCTGAAAATCTGAGCATTTTTTTCAATCGCTGTTTCCACTTCAAATTTAATGTGAATGTACGATGAAATAAATAAGGTACTTTTTGGGTTTCAGCAACTGTAAAACTTTGATGAATAGAGAAGCATTTATATGACCTAAAGCGATTTAAATTTCATTATTTGATAAATTGCAAGCTGCGTACAAAAAGATTGCTTATGACCACATAGCCCCGCAAATTATAAACGTTTATTGAGTAAAATTATGCACCAGATCCGATCAGTTTTTCAATCCCTTCAAAGTTTTAAGGCGTTTTCATGGTGATATTAAATGCTGTTCATGTGCCTTGGTAGAAAATTACAATTTAAGGGATGATGGTGAGACGGACGAAAACTACATTTCGGACATATCTTGCAGTCCAATGGCCTCTAAATAATACATACAAAGCACCGCGCACAACAGAATGCCCAAAAACTGCTGAATTAATAACTAGCATACTTTACCGGAAATTTGGATAAACTATTTAATCCCTATGGTAGAATATCACCAAAAAATGCAAGCTATGTTGTTATGTCCTTCTGACTAGTCAACCATTGGAAATGACGATGGCTGGTCAGAAGGCGGTTTAACAATTCCGTCGATGAAATCCGCAAAGACGGGCTTTTTCAAGGATCTTATTTCGAAGTTTGGCGGAATGAACTGATCAGTTTCCTTCCGAAGAAAGAATTTTTCAAGCAAGTCACTGAAAGTTTGATAGCTTCTCTCTAGGCAGGAAATTTTAATATAGTCATGGTAAGCTGCCGTCTTAGTCACCTAATGAAAACAAGGCCAACAAGAAATTTTGTAATCGTAACTATAACGAAATAATGAACAAAGCAAAACAACGAATCAAACATGTTCACTACTTAATTACCCGTCTTTGGAAGTTTCTGACAGGTCCTGATCCGCCGAGTGATTCGACGCAACTGACAGGCTCTCTTGAACAACGGAAAGAATTTCTGTTATTGAGTCTTCGCTTAGCTTCTGATCGCCTTCTGTAATGATCATTTGCAGTTCTAATGGAGTACTTGGCCGAAGATTCAATATCTGCAATATTTCTTTCTTAGAAAGGTTAAATTTTTTCAACTGTTCGATCGTTTTCACAATAGATTCTTCGGTTTGTTCGATACATGGAGTGCCTTGCAAATATTTTACTGTTTCGTACACCACGGTCGAGAGAGCTTTTGAATGCGGTGCCGATGATTTATCTTCGCTCTGATCGCCCTTTTCTTGAAGCAACCGTAACACTTCGTAATTCGATAGGTAGATGCGCCTTTCGTTGACAACCTCCATCGAAAAATGTCTAAAATAGCATTCAAAATTCATAACATTATTGTGTATCAAACTAGAATAGTGTTGTTTTACCGTATAAATGGATTCCAGAAATGCCAAACTGCAGCATCAGCCAAGATAGGTCATTATATGCAAAAAGCATAGGTTACGGAACCTAATTAGATTACACACAATGCTAACGGAAAATGAAAATTAGAAGAATGGAAATAAATTAACAGAAAGCAACAATATGAAGCTTTCCTACCGACTAAGATGACCTCTACCAACAGTTTGTCAAAACGCCTACATTCCGTTCGTTCAACTCAGCGTTTGGAATGCAGACTGCCTAATAGTTTAAAATTACACGAGAAAACATTCAAAAGCCATTTGAATACACAATAAAATATTCGTTCTTTAACTGAAAACCTTGTTTTGGATTTGTGGCAGCACATAGCTACAAAATCTTTACATATTGACAGTAAATGAATAAGGACTCAAGTTATTTTATTCGCGTGTTATTATTTGTTCGTACTATAAACGATAGAGATTCTCGGGTCCTCTCAAGGGATGTAATGGACAATGAGAAATCAAGGTAGATATGATGAAAACAATTATAAAATTGCAAACGTTTAACTTGAAGTTCATTTTAACATGGGCATGTCCAGATTTTCGGGGTTTCATCTTGAATGAACTAAAAATTACGCCAAATGGATCCTCAACGATGCGTCAATGGCAATTCAGAAGACAAAATATTCATGTTTGGTAAAGTAAATGGTTAAATAAACTGAAGATGACACCAGTTATCCATAATGCAATTTTCTTCGCTCTAGGTTGTACGTGTCTAATCACCTTCCTTTTAGTAAACAGTTTTTTGTTTTACGATGAATAAAAATTTTCAACTTGAATCTTCTACACATAGCAATTTCTTGTGTAGATGGGACCAGGGGTCTCGGCCGAAATTTCCATCCTTCATCAGCGTAATGAAACTCATCAGTATTTTTATGGATTTATTCGCAAGAGGTCAGCCGTTCGATGGTATGCTAATAATTGTGATTATTGACAGGTTGAGTCAGAGTTTTTTAATACAAATGAGCCAGCAAAGGAACCGATCCGGGCCGATAAGCGTCACGATAGTTGAAAATCAGTGTTAAACAGACTCACCATCATGTTACAACCGAGCATCACCAATTTCGTGTGAATAAGATCCACTGGGATGGCTTGGAACATCTTGGAAAGGATCTTGTTGGAAGTCTTTCTGATTCAGACAACAAATCATGTCATGAATGGATTTCTGTCGGTTATAAATTATGAAAACATGGATTAGTCTACACTGAAGGTTTGCAAGGCTAAAACCGTTTCAAAATGGTGTAGGGAAACCAAGGACCATTTTGACAATACTTGTCGAATATTGCCAACGCGAAACGGTTAATCGTCAAGATCCAGAATCTCAAAAATCAAAAAAATTAGCATAAGATTGAACGATTGACCTCTTTTTGTAAAAGTATGGGAATATTTCTGAGTTTCATTAGTGGCCGATGAAAGATGGAAATTCCGGCCAAAACTTAGTTCCGTTTGTACAGGAAATTGTCGTGTGTAACTAATTCAAGTAAAAGATTTTTTTCTCCATCGTTATTTATTTATCCCACGTCGTGGAATTTCTTGAATTATTCTTTTGTTGCTCACTTAAAATTTTATTAGTAATATGCATTGAAATAGTGCTAAATAAATATTTTGATAAATATATAACTGAACGATATGCCCTTTTTCAGTTTGTTTCACCTAATTCGCCAATGATTTGCTTCTTCTTGTTAAGGATTCGTGGGTTTCCTGGCGGATTGACGAATCAAATTAAACACACTGATCTGTTAGGAAAATGCTTTATCGGTTTCTACATGTAACATTGTAAAAACTCTTTCGAATTCAGAGGCATTCCTACACTCCCATCGAATTACGGTCGGGCGATTTCCCTATTCATGCTTCTAAGACACGACGCGTATGATTTGAAGAAGGGAAGTATCAGACTACTTGATGTGGCGGAGAATGAGCTGTCAACATTGACTCCTGGAATACACGTGCAACTTCGGAACTAGTCGAATGATAACAAAAATTACCGCTGCGCCATGAGCTTCAGGAAAAATGGCGCATCAAATATCGCTAATTGTAGCTCATTCTCGCATGTCGCACCTCTCATCCAGTTTGATGTGATAACATCAGAACACTACATTGTCCCTACTGTTCCAAAATGAATGACTCTACAATTTCAGGTTAGTCACACTAAATTCATTAATCAAGAAAATTAGTGGCTGAAAATTTGTCCGAAATTTGAATCTGGAATCTCCAGAGTTCGAAGTTCACTTCATCTCGGTGCCGCCATTTTTTTGCTATTGTTGATTCGTCACAATTACCGGTCAAAGCGGTAATCACTTGGTCCGGCTGATAACCAACGGAGAATCATGCTATATCGCAACACAACCGCAATTCTTCCCGAATTCAAGCCAATTCCAAGCAAGTGTGGGCTTTCCGGCATCTGATAGATTCTGCCCCGCTGCCGTGATGGACGACCAAACAGCCTTGTTCGCCCGCGAGGTTAGTAGTCGAAGTTCATCGCCGACCATCTTCTATCGGTGAACTGAAGATAGAGTCTGGACTACCGTTGCGGCTTTTGCTTACGTCGATGTTCCTCACTCCTATCCGGTTTTTGATAACCGCGTTCTGCATGTGGTCTCATTGTAAGTTTCCCAACATCCTTGTTTCGATGGTTCTCTCGGTAACGAAGAGCTGGCGATCTTCGGCTTTAGTGAATGATCTTATAGACATACAATATTGCAAGCAGTACGGCAGAACTGAACATATGGGTGCGGAGTTTTTGAGGCTGCCTAGGATAACGTCTTTGCTGGAGTGTAATGCGCATAAATCGGCCATTTTTCTCCATTGAATCTGTCAAGTTTGACCATGCTGCCTGTTTACCTCTACTTATTAGTGTTGCTTACCTTGCGTTATTATTCAGAAGCGTTCGCCTCCACAGTTTTACATTTATTTTTTATTTGTTTAATTTCACAAAAAATAGCTTCTTTCTTCTTCCCGTAAAGAGCTACTGCTCCGAAAAATAGGGGAATGTGACAGCGATCATTGAAGAAAATTTTGAGCACACTTGGCCTCGTACAGGCGTCCTTAAAAGTCATTCATTCAGAGTGAATAGCAAACAGACGTTTACTCATGTCCACCACAGCATGTACACTGGTCAAAACTATGTTTTCAAGATTGAATGAAATGGAAAGTGTACACAAACACTACCTACGGTCCTATGAATGCAGCTCCAGTCGGAAAATATTGCACCCTTGAATAATGACCGGCGCATTTCAACAGTGACGGTCTCTTCTCAAAGGGTTGCTAGCATTCATTTTAAACAGCTTGGCGGAAATGTAGCAATGATGTAACGGAGAAACACATGAAAGCTTGTAGCAGCAAATTGCATGTGACGGACAACCTGGGTACGGAGTTTTCGCAAAGGTGATTCACGTTACTTACGAAAAAGAATCAGCCAGCATTCTTCATATCTTTCACTAAATTACGCTGTCCCGATGCAAGAGAAACATCATTAGATCGACTCACACATGCACCCGTGTTTCGCCCATCTTATTTAATAACTGCTGTTTGTTTCCATAATCATTTAGGAGCCAGTAGTTGTGCACAAAAATCGATCACTGGAACATGTGTATCAGAGTTGTGTGATCTACGGGATCCGCTGATCTGCAGGGTTTGCCGTTGTATATTCCCTTAGTTCTTTTTTGTTTTTTCGTACAAGGTATACTATGTCGAATATCTTGTGAAGCGATAAAACCTATTGAGGTTTATTTGTATAATGACGAATCAACTCTGTTCGCTGCGCCAGTAACAGTGACTAATAATGTTCGTTTTCCGATCCATCATTCAAAGGCAACAACTGAAAAGGACGATGTTATGTCTTTCATTTACTGACGCGTTTCGGCGCCATACACTAACATCCTTATCAAAGTAATGGTGTAACAAAGGAGGTGGTGTGCACCATCTGGTTAACAAGAAATTTTATATCTTCCTTTTCAGTTGTTGAATTGAGCCATAGATCGTGAAGCAAAGATACTTATGGAGTTAGCGTGTTTCACTTTGCTCTGTACCTTACTGGGTTTAAGGATTTAGATGTGTATTTTCGAAGCTGAGATCATCGCAGGGCTGCTCAGAAGTTGGCTTCCAAATTTCGCTACATAGTATTGCATTTGATGAATTCTGTTTGTTATCAGTGTTGGTTAAATAGTAGGACCCTTGAATTTATGACTTCGTCGCTGATGGTGTTTCGCTTTGCCTGACCTTATTTTTCACGGTATTTTTTCCCCTCTGTCTGAAAGAATCAAAATTATTTTGCGTTGGAATGCCACTATGCATACTTTGTTTTTTAAATTGCTCCGGAGCGGCTGCGCTTCAGGATTTATGATTTTGAAACTGTAAAATATGCTTTGACTGATCAGGATTTTTAACCTTATTTTATTTAAAATGTTATTGTTCTATTTGCATTCGTGTTTGATGTTGGTATTTTCTTAGACTCTCCGTACCGATCGTCTCTACGTCATGGATGCTCTGAAGGATTATTATTGTACCATTTTTGCGCTTACTTATTCCCCATGCTGTAAATACCTGTGTGCGGCCGATCGTTATGGATTCGTAACGGTTTTCAGGTAAGAGTTGTCAAGAAAAGATTTTCAAAAGCATAAAATTGCTTGTAGTTTGAAAAATGTAGTCAAGGCGGATTTCATTTGAACAATATCTCATACTCATGTTTACCTATGTAGATTAATTAAGGGATTAGTTACTTATCTGTAGATTTTTCATATTATCAAAAGACCATAATTCAATTTCCATGATCGCATCTCCTTCCGGGTCCCGGAAGCAGATGCTTCAGACTGTGCTTCCAACGTTTCGACTCTGTGCCAGCGTTTGAGCTAAAAACCCTATTAAAGTAACAGTTTATATTTTTGTATTAATGGGTTATACCTTGCACTGACTTTTAGTTAATTACTATTTGATGAAAGCGAATTGTAGCTGTAAGGGCATAGTTATGAGTTTCGCGATCTCTGACATGTTATATCAGAACACCACGCTATTCCAGTTATTCGTAGGTCATCGATATTCTGTTCTTTCTGCGTTAATCACATTTAGGCACAGTAAGGTGCGTTCCTTACGTCCCTAGAAAATTATCAGTTAATAAGAAAAGTGTTAACGCTTTCTTTTGATTCAAACATGCACTTGTAACTTGTAAAGCCGAACGATTTTGTCCGTCGCCACTGTTTTGCGTAATGGCAAGCTTCGATTTGGAGACTTGAGATGTAAAATGGCATTCAAAATT